CCATCGATAAATCATTGCTGGATTTTCGTCCGTCATGTGACATAATTCATCATAGCAGGTTAATCGCAAAGTGCGAAGACAAGAAAGATTGTCAGCTACAATCTTCCCTACTTCTTTATACGTTGGAGATTTTATTAAAGATTTATTGATGTGAATATTATGAATAAAAGTATTATAATCGAATATAATCGCAAAATACAAGTTTGCTATTTGCAAGTTTTTTCGCTTATATTATATGGTAGGTTGATGGAATTGCTTTGCTCTTATTCTCGTGTCATTAATGCAATATTTTTTTTACATTTTTATTGCTTAGATGCCCTTTATCCTTCCCAATCGCATCACACATGGTGTCACTTTCACGTCTTGTTTCAAGTTTGATTCATGGCTTTAAATTTTTCCCCAGACTTGTTTCCTAAATATAGCTGATAGTCATTTCTCCTTTTTTCAATTATCTATTTACATTCTGTTCAGCTACTCTGATGTTACCATTGCGAGGCTTCAGGTCAGCCAATCGCCGCCTTGTCGGAGTTCTGGCTTTCTGTCCTGCAGTCGTCGCGGCCTCTGCTCCAGCGATCCGGACGCCGATAGCACGCCCTATTTAGACCTATTTCTGGAGCCTACTTGCGACTTTAATATCTCTATGCACTACTCCTATACCCATTGGATAGCACAGGTATAGTCTTTATGCTTATTGTGGTTACAAAATTAGGGTTAAGCTCGTTTAAATTAATTAGACAGTCTGCGACCTTTGTCTATTTCATATTTCCTCAGTATGCGGTTTTTATTCTGTACTTCTGAAATACAGAGAAATCAAACCATCTTACTAATCTGTAATTGCGTAGGTTATAAAATATCTTAGCTTGATTGTCGTCATAGATTGATATCAAACCCCAAGTCTGGTATTAACATTAGATGAAGTATCAAGATTGTAGAGTTACTTGAATTGCCTTTCTTCGTACTTAGTGTCTCTGATCTTCCTTATTCCTTTAAGGCGATAGTTGTTTTTGTCAATCTGTAATGTGAATTTACATTAAATCTCATATGATATGACCCATATATATCATTTAATTATTTCCATCTAAAAAATTTAGCAAAATATTAGTAAGCCTGTTAAACACATTTGCTTAGCATGATTTATGCATTGATTTGGGCGTTATTAGCTTTGCCTTTACTCTGAACCTTGAGATTCACGCACGATTCAAGTCACATTTGTATGCATATCTGG